GCGATCGGCTCAATCCATTTGAGTACCACCGTTAAACGAGATTAATATTGTTTCGCGAAATGGGTTTGCCGATGTAACGACAATACAGTGGCGACGTGTCGGGCCTCTGCTTTCAGGCTTTGACAGGTTGTGCAGCCGTAAAAACGGCTCCGGTCTGTACAGATTCTTTTCAGTTGAGCACCAGGCTGATCGAAATATATGGTTTTTACAGATCACCTGTGAAAGCAGCATTTCATTGCCAGAGGATTTTTTAAAACTAAACCGGAAGTGTTCTGGATTGTCGTTATGTGAACAGTGGAACTCTTGGCGTTCGAAATAGCAAGCTTTTATCACTTAAATGCTGACTTTATTTTCGTGGCTGCTGCGCGAAAGGTCAAGTTGAGCCCCATAAAACCTTGGAAACCAATACGCCGATTTTGATCTTCGAGGACTGGAAATGGCCATCGGACTATGCACCGCCTTTTCACACGAGCAATTCCTTCAGCACATGTTTCTTCGTGTAACGTATCAGGTATGTTACCGCAAAAATGGCAAAACCTGCTAATTTGGAATGCCTTGTGCTCAAAACATGTCATCAGAACCTTCTTTTCTTATACCATTTATGGATAATCTTGAAACCGGTCAAGCTGCAGGGAACATTTTTACTAGCAACATTTTTTAATACAAAGTGCGACGTTTTTGGAACGGACTAGTAGGCATCGCCCGTCTGTCGAAATCGCTGTGGCGCTCTGGTGCTTCCTTCAGTCGAAATCGCGCTGGCGCTCTCGTGCTACCACCTGTCGGAATCGTTGTGGCGTTCTGGCGCTACCACATGTCGAAACCGCTGTGGCGCTCTGGTGCTACCACGTGGCGGAATCGCTGGGTCTGGTGTTACCACATGTCGGAATTGCTGCGGCGCTCCGGTGCTACCATATGTCTGAATCGCTGTAGTGTTCTGTACGCTAACGACGATGAAGCGGCCGGCAGCAGGTTCTGCGGCGCCAGCGGCCCGCTCTGCCTACCACCGAGCGGGGCGCCCTGCCTATCACCGAGCGGGGCGCCCCGCTAGATAGCGCCTGGCCCGCTGTGAGCGGTCAGATGGGAGGGGGGGGGGGGGGACGGGTGGTCCAGCCGGCGTGCTCAACTGATGCGTCAACTGTAACTGCCCTTACTTTGCTCCGCGGGAGGCTCTTCCCGAAAAGACGAGCATGAATGTGGCGTGACCGAATAATCGTAAAACATAAGTGGGGCGCGGCTAAAAGGAAGTGCACAAAGTGGCTCTACAGTTAGAACGAAAGCTAAACATAACGCATATAAGGCTCGTGGGGGTTGTGCTAACCATTCAATCGTGGTATCAATGATCATACGATCGTTGATGCTATACTGTATGGGGCCAGTGAACCTCGATGTTGGGTCGTCGTGAACCATTCTAACCGTTGGCCGTTTAGAGATTAAATTCATGCGCTCACGTTATAACTTCCCTGATTATTTTTCAGCTGTGCTTAGTTACAAGTTTGCCAGAAAGCATTTAGGTGATTAATGTGCTGAAGTGTGGACACCTAACATGACCTCTGCATTGGAAATAGCGCTGAAACCGTTTTATTACCATAGCTCTTGGCCCACTGTATATGTCTCTACGCTTTTATCAGCTTCCATCACCATTGGACAACTACAATGATGATTGGCGTGGTGCCTACATCTGCAGTTTAGTTATGCAGTGCTCGTGCCAAGACAGATGACGTGCTTTTTATGCGAGCACATCAACTGAAAAGGTAAAACGTCGCCAGACTCAGGTCAGAGGACCGGATACTGGCCGGAGATCCTCACTGTCTGATGTGATCTGATCCTGATCTGACCTGCTTCTCAGCCTCTGATGTGGTCTGATCCTCACTCTCTAATCCTCGGATACTGACCGGAGATCCTCACTCGTTGAAAAAAAAAACAGCAGCAGATCTTACGCGCAAGGTGACCAGGATACACGCTTTCCAAGCGAAGGTTTTCCGAGCGTAGGTCTTCCGAGCGTAGGTCTTCCGAGCGACAGAATTAACGGTAGTAGGTCTTCCCAGAGTAGGTTTTTCCCGGCGTAGGTCTGTCGCTTGTAGGAATTCTGGTAGTAGGTTTCGAGCGTCTTTGGAGCGTGTGTGTTCCGGGAGAAAGTCTTCCGAGAGTAGATCTTTCGACCCTCACCCTAGGTAAACTATCAGCTACTATTGCCATTATAATGTAAATCGCCCCAGGAATTATGCATCGAACTTGTTCCGAATGGGCAAGGACTAAGATGTCCGCATAGAACTTTGAGTGTCCTGGCACGCACATGTAACTTAATCATGTTACGCACGTGCGTTGACGTAGTACCGGCTCGTATCGTCAGCTCTTCAATTAATTGTTAATGGCATACACCCCTTCCGTCGGGGATAGCAACAGAGAAGTGCCGCTAAACAACTCCCCTCTCCTCTGTCGCTGTCGTCAGCATTGGTCTAAACATCTCTCCGTCGGTCATGTCCGCGTCCAAACACCCTCCGTCGGGCGCGTTGGCGGTGTTGTGCCGCCTCCCCGGAGTATCGGCGTCAGCGCCGCGTCGGCGTCGGCGTCGGCAGCAGAGTGTTGCGTCGCTCGTCGGTGGCGGCACCGCTTGCTGCGGCGCGGTCGGCCGAAGGGAGGGGAGCGCGCGCCGCGAGGGGACCCAGACGGAGCGGAATAATCGGAGCCGGCGGCGTCCTTTGTCGGCCGACGGCAGACGGTCGGCGGGCGGCGGCGAGGGCGGCGAGGACGGCGCGGCGGCGGCGCGGTGGGCTCCAGCCAGCCGTAGGCAGCCAGCAGCACCACACGTGAGTACTCCCGAGCCGCGGCGCGGACACGGCCAGACGCTCGTGGGGAGAGGCGTCGCACCACGCGTACCCGCCTCAGGTCCAAGACCGAGACCTCAGGTCCAAGACCGAGACCTCAGGCCCAGGACCAGGTCCTCAGGCCCAGGACCAGGTCCTCAGGCCCAGGACCAGGTCCTCAGGCCCCAGGACAGCCGTGATTATGCCCACGTTTGCCCTCTTTCTGAGCGGTGCAGTACGCGAGCATCAGTGTAGCGTGAATGGGAGAACACACGGTCCCGTCTTCTGATGGCGCTAGTGATGGGACCGGATGTCTATGCGTGCCTGTTGTGCTCTCTCGCCACCGCCATGACGTGCTTCAGGAGTGATGGTGGAGAACGCTGGTAAGGGTTGATACGGCACAGCTGTCGCGACGAGCGGCCCTCCATGACGGACTGTTGAAATCAGCCCAGTGTCAATGAGCGTTGGTGTGTGCTTTGCCCCTGCCACGGCGTCCTTTGCCTGCGTTGAGGAGTGCCGTTCGAGCGGACCCGCAGTCTGACGCATCCAGCGGGCCCCGAGACTCTCCATCCCCCTGTATGTGCTGGTAATTTGGACTCAGCTATAGAGAAATCTATCGGATTTCCTGTGTGCTTTAGCCATGTTTCCAGGTTGTGTCCGTTATTGTCAAAACAAGAAATATGGTATCAAAGTGGAAAGTCTTGGTAACAGATTTCTGTTAACAACTGACCGTGATCAGCGGGGATCACTTTCCAGCATGCGTCACATTAACAAACACCTGCAAATGTTGTACTTAATGCAACACGCGGCACTTTTAGCGCAGCCAGCGTCTGAATAATGCGAATTGCGCTTAATTAATGTGCACCCGATCGCAAGCTCCACTGGTTTCGCGAAGATGGACACCATATCTGGGGTCCGCCGCCCAACCAATGTGTACTTGTGAAGCAAAAACTCCGGCTACGTTCGTACTACCAGTATAGCTCTGAACAACACCTCGACCTAAGCTCGCCCTTAATTCAGGCTGCGCTCTTTAATGCGCGCAATGCTTTCCACAGCAAAGGGTATGTGGTGAGTGTTAGCTGTTCTTTGAACTTGAGGAACACTAAAATCTGTTTAAACTTGGGTAGGGCTCCAAGCGGCAGTGGGTCTTGTAACCATCAGGGCTGGTGCTTTCTTCGGTAGCGTCTTATTTTAGCAATGCACTACATTTTGCGGCGTTGCTTACGGTGGACAGCATGATGTGGAACGGGGCACGGTAAGTGTAGCATATTATAAGGCAGGCAGGGATACGCAATAACAAGCTACCTCATCCCCTTGTTTTTCGGCATTTTAAGTCCAGAGTTCTTGTTTCAACCTATCGACCTTTCGTGTAGGAAGAGACACTGATTAAACAACGTTGTAGACCAAACATAAGCTCCGTTGACAGTACTCGACGCTTCAAGTTGTGCCTATGGCCACGAATGATCACAAGTGATCACGAGTGATCATAACAAAGGCTACATTTAATGCATCAGATGCTTGCCTCGTGTAGAATGCTGAGTACATATCAAATATAGCATGCGGCACAGATCAGTAACGCATATCGAGCGAGAAATAGAACGAGCTTGGAAACAATAGACATGAAGCTTAAAGGGGAAACAGGAAACATCATACAGTACCGCACAGCTTTCTGCCTTTCGTATACGTTTAATATACGGCGCAAATTCCGATTGCAGTCAATTAGTTAAACTAGGCGCACGTGTCCCATTGCCAGATTCGGAGGTAACGTACCCAATGGGATAACACCACTTGTCACAGCATATCCCGGTCGCCTGTCTGGTGGGGTTGTCTGGTGGAGCTGTATGGTGGGACTGTTCGGCAGATCCCGGGGTGGACCGTCTGGTGGGACTGTAAAGTAGATTCTGATGGGCTGTGTGGTGGGACTGTCTGGCAAATCCTGGTGAGCTGCCTGGCGGGATGATGCATGCGCCAGTGTCACTGTGTCGACAATTAATGAGTAATTTCTGCACTTATCCGTGGGATCTGGCGCCTTGTTTCTGATAGTATAGACTGGCATCAGGGAGGCTCCGATGAATCTCCGTAGTTGTGCGAGGTCGTAAGCCGTGACGCAGCCGTCATGACCGCTGTGATCTCCGCAGCTCTCGGCTTCGACCGAGCCTCAGCGGCGTCCGTCGCCCCAGCAGCCGCGTCCGAGCCATGGCTGCCGACCCGTCAGCGTCGGCGTCGCCGCCGCGGCTGCCGCTCAGCGGTAGCAAGCGCAGCTTCGACATCGCCTTCCTGGTGTCTTCGGCGAGCGAGCCGCCGCGGCGCGGCAGCCCGCCGGCGGCGTCGACCAGCGCCTTCAGCCGCGTGCGGCCGGTCCCTGAGCCGCCGGCGCCGGCGCCAGAGCCTGCCGCCACGCTGCTGCAGCCGCGCGCAGTGCTGGCCGCCAAGCTGGGACTGCCGCCGCGCCTGCCGCTCGGCTACCCGCTGCAGGTGGGCCTCGAGCTACTGCACAAGCCGATGCTGCCGCCGCTGGCCGCCGGCGCGCTCGGCGCCATGCTGCCGGGCCAGAACGTGTGCGCCCTCTGCCGCATCAGCTTCCGTATGACGTCCGACCTGGTATACCACATGCGCTCGCACCACCGCCGCCAGGGCGACGTGCAGCGGCGCGCGCACGAGGAGAAGCTGCGCTGCGCCGTCTGCGGCGAGACATTCCGCGAGCGCCACCACCTGACGCGTCACATGACGGCTCACACGGAGCGCGACGGCGAGGAGGCCAGGTGAGGCCCCGCACGCAGAGGCGGCCTCTCCTAGGTACAGCCGAGGTCTAGACGCCGCTGAGGTCCGAGGCCTCCGAAGGTGCCGCTTACGTCCACAGACGTCGCTGGGGCACCGCAGAGGTGTCTCGAGGTGTGATCTCAGAGGGCTACGAGGCTTTTTGTGCGGCGATCTCCTAGAGATGCGTCAATGTCCGGTGACCTCCCAGGGACGTGGTTGATAACTCGCCCACGATATGGCGCGGTCACCCTCGTGACATCTGACAGAACGTCGCGTGACAGCCTCTGTCCGATGGGGGACCGACTCAATCTCCGCCGCGTCTAGGCTCCAGTGCCAATACAGACCTGAGCGTTCCCCACAACATCCCAGACCGTTCCAGCCACACCCCTGCACGTCACTTCCGACGTGCCAACCTGAATAGTATCCCGCTCTGAGTAGCGTCCCACTCACATCTCTTCCGGCATCCCACCACTGCACCTGCTCTGCGCGACCCGGAGCGCTCTCAACAGATGTTTGACTCGTCCGAGAGCGTAACCCGACCTGAACGGCTGCTGATGGCACGCTCTGGAGGGGTCGGATCAGACTGAGGATCAGATCAGGCGGATCAGAGGCGATCAGACCGAGGCGCATGAATCAAAGACAGGCCTGAAGTCGCGCAGCGGCACGAGGTAGTGTGGTTCGGAGGACTCCAGTGAGCTCGGTGTATGGTGGCGTTTGAAGTCTCCCGCTCTATCTCCTAGCTGGGATGTGTCGAGTGTCAAGTGCCGGCGATAGCTCGACCACGTCATGCAGAGCCGGCTGAAGGAACCCTATGCCGATCGGTGCTCCCGTGGATGATTGTGCTTCGACTGTATGACACTGTAGGTGCGTCCTCGAGGTATGTTTGCGAATCGCTGGAGCTGCGAGCGGACCCCTGAGTGTTGGCGAACCGCTGGAGCTGCGAGCGGACCCCTGGGTGTTTGTGAACCGCCGGAGCTGCGAGCGGACCCTGAGGTATGTTTGTGAACCGCTGGAACTGTGAGCGGACCCCTGTGTGTTTGTGAACCGCTGGAGCTGCGAATGAACCCCTGGGTGGTCTGTTGTCGATTCACTGATGAGGCTTGTGAATGGAGACATGTGATCACGTATTGCAGACGATGGGTGATACTGCGTTATTGCGCGCTCGGTTGTTCTTAGTTCTAGCTGTGTGCGGAGGGCTAGCTGAAACGACACTGGACGCCCTGCGGTGTTGCTGATGAACCGCTACATTCGCTGGAAGGAGTATTGTGCGATGTGCATGTGACACGGCACGGACGCCCGGTGTGCTCGTGGCTTTCCTGAACTGGCGCATTAAAGATGGCAGTTTTTCGTGGCTAAGCTTATAGGCAATGCCATCAAACTAATTTGAAGACAGCTAGTGTTACACTTTTAGCCTGTTGGTAACAAGAAGGTTGCGGAGTGCTTTGCCGTGCCATGGATTGCGTTTTGAATGTAAGAATAAAAAGTGACTGATGGGGAAAAGGGCGAATGAAGACATTTCATAACGGAGGAAATGACAGAAAAACTACTATTTTTAAGGGAAGACGATACACGCCATCGCGCTTCCTTTTATGGAGCGTTAACGACTGCGGGGACGAATCGGTGCACAGAGGCCATGATACAACCGTGGTTCTAATCTGGGCCCTTCCGCGTAGGATCCAGTGGTGCTAGCGATCTGGCCATTATGCTCAGTACACAGAGACGAACACCACGTGTTTATAAAGACAATTTGTCGGCATGTTTTATCTTCAAGTGGAGCCAATGCCCCTGAGTGAGAAGCAGAAAGCAGAACTCATTTGCGAGTAAGTTACAAGTATTCAAGGCTGTCGTGAGCAGTTTACTGCCCGTGGACGCTTATGGGCAAAATCTACAATTTAAGACACCCTAAAAGAAGTCTCATTTGATTGGAGAGAACTGTTCAACGCCTCTGAAGCCGCCTGAAGTTCAGGAGTCGAAGGGTGGTCGAGGGTGGTTGAAGGGTGGTCGTGGGTGGTCGAAGGGTGGTCGTGGGTGGTCGAATGGTGGCCGTGGGTGGTCGAAGGGTGGTGGTGGGAGTCGAGCACTGATATTTACGGACGAAAACCGTAATGAATGCCGTACGGTAGCGAACCGTAGCGTTAGCGAGGTGAAGGGCAGCTAACTCGTCGCAGTTTGCAATCTATAGCTCCGAATCTGCGCATAGTGTACCCGGATCTCTCTTGCTTGGAAATCACCGCCCTGCCTTCTGAATGCCTTCAGGTCCAGGCCGCTGGCCTCCTGTCCACCTGTGCTCCTTCAGACACAGACCGGTCCTGTCCTGTTTTCCCTGGCGCTGTGAGGCTCGTGCAGATCCGCTCCTGTTTACCGAGGTTCCTTCAGGTACGCGCCGGTCCACGCCTGTCAGTCTGGCTTCTCTCCTGTTTCCAGCTGCAGCGGGCTCAGGTCATGGTTCCACTAAGGTTTTTTCCACTCGGCTCATTCAAGCGCGGACCGGCGCTCTTTTGTAATCAGGCTGTGTCGCACTTATAATGCTCTCACGCTTCTCTCTGTTCCCGGCGGCCCGTCCTGCTTCCTTCAGACGCAGGCCGGCCCGCTCCTGTTTATTTAGGCCCCGAGACGCGCCAATCGCCCTGCATCAACAAATCCCTGATAAAACCAACTGCCAATACATGATTAATTAAGTTGCGCCGAAATGGAAAAGGGCTCCGGGAGCTTTCCCGGGGATTTTTTGGACTGATCCTGATCGCATTAGAGGACAATAGCCAAATCAGCTCAATGTGAGTGGAGGGTGACCAATGCATACAGAGAGAAGAGACACCGCCAGCCCCTGGCGCCAGTGCGCAGAGCATTGGAACGTTGTTATCGCCGCGAAAGCGGGTGATGGGGGAATTTGATACGTGAAACAACTTCAGCGCGTGTAGGAAATCGCGTAAGAGAACTGTATGCATGCACGTGCTGTTATCAACGGCATCTGATAAAGAGCATGCAGTTCGAACACTTCCATCGTGATTTGCATGTGATGTGGTTCACTATTAATGCGCGGACCTTAACATCAGAACAGGCCTACCGACCACCGCGACAAGACAGAGAAAGGATGTTGCTCCTGCTCATGTCCGACACCCCTCTCGGGATAGCCATACTTCACTCCCGACAGAGCCGTCAGTGGCGCTGGGCGCGCTGAGCTGCGTTGGTTTGGCTGAGCTGAGCTGAGTTGGTTGCGCTGGCGGACTGACTATGCCTGCTGACTGTCTGTGTCTGGTGGCGCACCGTGGACTGGGGCTGACCAGGTGGAGCTGGCCTTAGCGGGGCGCCGACGCGGCTGGAACCGACCACCGGCCGGAGGGACAGCCGGCCACACTGCACCGCCGCCAGCCGGAGCACACAAACGGCAGACGGAGCGTGCAGACGGCAGACGGAGCACAAAGACGGCAGACAGAGCACACACGAGGCAGGCAGAGCACATACGAGGCAGACAGAATATAACGGGAGCAAATGTAGCTAACTGTCGTCACAGTCGTACAGATAGAACCCACAGACGCGAGCAGGTCGCACAGACACGAGCAGAGCACTCAGACACGGACGGAACACTCGCAGAAGAGCGGGCACTCAGACACGGGTGGAGCAGCCAGACACGGGCGGAACACTCAGACACGGGCGGAGCACTTAAATACGGGTGGAGCACTCAGACACGGGCAGAGCTCTCATGCAAGGGCAGAGCACTCACACACGAGCGAAGCAGTCAGACACGGGCGGAGCTCTCATACACAGATGGAACACTCAGACACGGGCATGCGACGGCGAATGATGACGGAGAGCGAGCTCTCCGCTGTATTCGGCGATGGCGTGTGTACCGTCACACGGTGCGAACTGCGGGTGGTTTACACTTCGGTGGTAACTCAGTTTGCACGGTGATTTTGGGATGCAGGTTGATTGATGAGCTAGCACTTCTACGGAAAGAAACAGGTTCCTTTGCGTTAAAGCCTCTTGCCTTTTGTAGGACGTATTCCCCAGCTGCCCTGGGTCGGCTTCCACGTCCACCGCCACCGCCCGCTCCGACCCCTTTCTGAGCCAGCTAAAACCAAAATGGCTGCCGGCCTCCGTCCATCACGACTTGGATTTCTGCTCGGAACAGCTGATTTTTCCGTCGACATATTCTTATCTTTTGGATAGATTATCCAGTCCGCACCGCCAAGGGTTCCTCCAACAAAGCCTTCACGCGCCATCTAGCAAATCTTGTGATAAATAGAGGATGGGTAGCCTGCGAATTATGCAAATATACACAAATTTCTTGGCCCAGATTGTTCCGGGCTGAATTAGAAATTCCAAAAATACTGCGGAGGTACCAGCACACGCTGAGGGGGAGGGGAGCCGGGGCTCGCTGCCAGCCGAAACGACAGGCTGTCCGGGACGAAAGATCGCCTGCCAAGCGCGTCCGGGACCAGGCGCAATATCGGAAGTCACATTGCTGAAGGGAAAACATCAAACGCAAGCGATCAGCAGTTGACTATTTAATATATTGTATATGAAATACTGTAAAGGCGTATTCTTGAATGGAATACGCATCGCAAATCCACAATATAGAACCGGGAAACGATCCAGGTGCAAAATATCGACAGAACGGATATTGACTGGGACTTATGTGAAAATTGAGCATTATCAAGCAGGAAAATATTGGCGAGGTAACATGCATCCTCTAACGATGAAAAATAGCGCAATCACATAGCTCGAGGTGGGAGAAGATTGAAACTTAGAAGTCCGTAAACTTCCGACAACTGCAGAATGATACGGATAATAGGTGCGACAGAGGTAATGGTCTGTCATAGTCAGGCTATCATGGCCGATGGCCAAGGCATATTCAGGCATAGTCAGGCTAGAGGCTATCATTAAAATACTGATTAGAAGTACTGTTCATTCATTTAGCGCCGTCCATCACTCGCTAAGTTAGGATAGATTAAGTTTGGTGAGGTTAGTTTAGATTAGGTTGGATTATGTTCAGTGAAATAGGGTATGTTTGATTGGACTATAGGTAGAACAAGCGGGGAACTTTTAAGCTCAGCTGCAAGTTCTATGGAGGTTACCAGCCACTTAAATATCAGGACGGTCACTCATGTCCTCTTCATCTTGGGAGGCAAAGCGTGCTGCCAAGGTTCGACGAGTTGGTATTAAATTTTGCGTTCCCATATTTATCTTGCCGATAGTTAAGCATTTCATGTTTTGCATCATGACAGTGATACCCATCAAAAGTTAGCTCATCCATGTTCGTTTCCAACAGTTTTTCGAAGCATTTCGATTTTTTGTCCACCCTTCGTTGGCAATTTTTTCGACCCGCCCTTGACGCGCCGTCTTTCGCCATGCACCGCAACGTGTAGTTCCCGTTGGTACTGCTTGGGCGCTAGCGTCGCACCTCCCCTTCCCCGGTACGGTCCATCCTTGCTTCACCCAATCGGCGGTCCCTGTGTCCAGCTGTAGCCAGTGTTGTCAGCAGTGTCGGCTTAGGGTGTACCCATGCGCGCGTGCGCGCAGAAGAGCGGCCAAAAACCGAGGAGTACTGCCGAATCGGAATAGTCTGAGGGGCCGGCAAACAGCACGACTTCACGTCTTTGAACAGGCAGGCTTCACAATCAGTAGTAGGTACAGTTTATTGTACAATAATTATACAAAATAACATCGGAAGAATGAATATTATCTACAACCCTCTTACCGTATCGTTCTACAACCATGGGTTAGTGAAGCAAAAACGAAAGGAAAACTTCAGAAGGTAGCTACTTAAAAAATGCTGGTAACACAGCAATACGGCGCGACCAGGGCAATAGAAACATCCCCACTCGTGCGCCCAATACACAGTATTGTCGACGCTGCAGCGGATTCCGCCTACTCCGCGGGCGGGGCGCGCGCCACCGCGCGCGTCTCCCGCGCCCTGCGTCGCCGGTCGCTCGGCCGGCACGCTATCACAAAAGTCGCAAATCAACAACTACGAGAAGCAGCCGGCGCGCGGCCGCCCGCCACTAGCGCCGTCCCACGGCCGCCGGGCGAAGCACTCCACTCGGATTGCCTAAACGCTGGTCACAACACGTCCACCAACACGACATGTACACTACGCACGCAGCCCGGCGCTCACTTAGGTTGCAAAATCTCCGCGCATATCTTGGTGGGGTCCGTCTCCTCGGGCATGAGGTTCATGGCAACTCGGACCTTCTCTTCGGGGAAGAGAGCGGAGAGGTGCCAGTACATCTTGCGGCGCAGCTCGTCCTTGCTCTGCCGCGGGGACGACGGCTGCGTGCCGATCGGGTCAGGCGTGTACCCGGAGCCGAAGCCCAGCACGCCGAACGGCGCGCCACCTGTCGGCGCGACGGTGGCGCTGCTGGGCGGCTGACTGGTGGCGACGTTCGGCGGCGGCGTCGACAGACTGGACGTCAGCGGGTTGGGCTGGAATGGGTTGAAGGTGGCGGTGGCGTGCGCCGCAGACACGGCCGGCCAGCCAGCGCTGGGGCTCGAGGTGACCGGCCGGTGCCAGGGCGACCGCTCGACGAACGGCTCGGCGCCGGCGAACTGGTACTGCTCGGCCAGGCCGGCGTACGCGTTCAGCTGCGGGTCGGACGTGCTGCTGAGCCGCTGCATGCTGAAGTCGTGCGGCGGCGGCGGCGCCAGGCCACCCGCCTGGCGGCATGAGTCCGGTGCCGACGCGTTGCGTGTGACACTGGCGTGCGCCGCCTGGTGCTGGCCGCCGTCCCAGTGCGGCGACAGCAGGTTTCGACTGGCGATCATCTGCTGCTGGCCCAGCTGCGCCTCCAGCTCCAGCACGTAGCGGTCGCGCTGCGCCAGCCGCGGGTCGTACGTCGGGTTCAGCGTCAGCTGGCGCGAGAGTTGCTTGTGCGCGCGCTGCTCCTGGCTGCTCTGGTAGCTTGGGTCGGACGACTTGCGGCACAGCTCCATGTGCTGGCGCACCGCCTTGGTCTGCACGTGTTGCTGCTGCAGATTCCAATGCTGCCAGTCGGCGGCAGCGGCGGCGCCCGACTGGTACGAGGCCGGGTCGATCTGCACCGGCCGCAGGCGCGCCGCGCTCGCCACGTTCTCCATGCTGCGGCTCTTGTTGGCCGCGCGCAGGTGAGCGTCGTCGGCCGGCGGCGGCCGCGAGTCGGCCGGCACCGTGCCCGGCACCAGCGAACGAGTCCGGCTGACAGGCTGCTTGCGCGCGCCGCCGCCACCGCCGGCACCGCCCCCGGCCGACCGCGCCTCGCCCGGCGGCAGACTCAGCGTCTTGTCACGCACGCTCCGACCGCCACCTGCCGGCACGCAGGTTGGGAGTCAGCACATACGGCGGTGGACACGGAGCAGGGGGCTCCACACAGGGCACGAGCGGCAGCCGTCAGAGACTCCACCACGAACAACAAACAGAGGGGACGCGCTGGGACGGCCGACTTCCGACGGCCGGCGACGCCCAGCCAGCGCTCATGCACGCGACGGTGGCCAGGGTTCCACAGCCAGCGTTCATGCACACCCCGACCGGCGACGATGACAGCGGCGGCCGCTTCATCCGCGGCCGTCACATCGGCGCCGTGTTAGGGGCTGCTCACCTGCCGCGCCGTCTCCCAGGCCGCGCCGGACCTGAAGACTCCGCTGCGCGTGCTCCGCCAGCTTCTCCGTCACCGACTTCTGCGGCTGGTTACCGCGTTCCGGGTGGTAGTATTTGCACTTGTTCCCATATGTACATTTCTGCCGGCAGAGGCGGGGCGTCAGCGGCCACAGGGAGCACGACAGCCCCGGCCGCCGCCGGAGCGGCGCTGACCGGCCGGCACGAGGCCGCCGGCTACATCGGGTCGGGCGCGCGCCGCCACCTCCGCGGCGCCCGGACAATGGCCCGGTGGCCATGACGGCGCGACCCGGATCCGGCGGCGCCGCGCAGCCGGACGCGCGACTGGTTTGAGCTTATCGGCGGCGCGGCGACCGGACGGCGGCCGACGGAAAAATCGCCACGGCGCTCTTTTTGCGGTGTCGATGCACGGACGTCGAGCGCTGCGGCGCGGCCTCGAACGCGCCGCTCGCGGCAGGAAAGTACTCACCTTGCCGTACGGACAGAGCGACTCGGACGGGCGCGGACTCTTGCGCAGGAAGTTGTCCAGGGTGGGACCGTTCCTGCCCAGCGGGTCGTCTGGCGGCATGAATCTGAAATAAGAAAGGCCCGGCTGTTAACTGGCGCCCGGGAATCGCGCGTCCGCAGCGCACGTGACATTCCGGACTTGTTTACAGTGGAATGTGACACAGCGACAGCGTTACCGCTGACCCGCTATCTAGGAATGAATCAACATACCGGGAAAACTGTGGGTGGCGTATTCTGTGTACCGCCTGTGCATTCACCGCCGAATAATCACCCTGTCACAGATCGCCAGTCAGTTGCACCGGCCTCACCCGCCACGATACTTCTGAGGCCAGGCGGCTCGCAGCACGTCTACCAAAGCCATACCGCACGCTGCACCTGCCCGCGCTTCTCTACACGCTCCAAGCGACTCAAACGCGAACTCTTTAGGGCTCATACCTGTCATTGGCGAAGGAGTACATGAGGATCCGCTCCTCAATGACCTTTTTGAACTGTTTTTCCTTATGCAGATCTCGGTAGTTGTCATTGGAAACGACGATGCCATCCTGATGCAGCGCCGTCTGCAGAATATACCTGGAAGCGAGCCAGTCGTGTCACGGCCACGGCCGGGGAGCACGGCGCGACACGGCGCCGCCGCCGGCCGGCCCCAACCCGGACGCAGCCGACGCACGTGACCCACAGCACCGTCGATCGGCTGCGCGGCACGACATCCACTCAGCGGCGTCGCCGGCCCGGCGACGCCCAGTGTTCGCCTCGCACGCACGGTCGCCACGGGACGGCCGCCTTTCCGCGCGCGTGATCTCCGGGCAAACCCACACACACGCACACGCAGACAGAGGAGCCTGTGGCGACACACCCACCTGTCGTCGTAGCATGTGATGCGCTTGCCGTCCACCACGCGCGACGGCGTGAACACCAGGAACCGCTCGCGCTCCAGCTCCAGCAGCACCTCCTGATCTGCGGGGCGGCGGAGATGGACCACCGTCAGCAACCCACCCACGAACGGAGACGGGGGCAGCGGCATCTGGTCCGGACGCTACACACGGATCGCTCCCGAACGGCCGACAGGCAGCAGCGCGGCGAGCGGCTTCAGCGGCTCGGCACACGTCAGTCGCGGCCGCGAGACATGCGTCGCACGCGCGGGGGCGGAACACGACTCGAACACGAGCCGCCCAGCCGTATTATACAGCTCATCACTCGTAACCGGCCGAGAGGCACGCTGCGGCAGCGGCGGCGCGACTTTAAAGGCGGCGCCCGGATGCCGCGTCGTGACCCGCGCCTGCCGCACACACGGCCGCCGTCGTGACGTTGCCGGCGGCACGGCGACCTCGGCGCGGCCGTATATGGCGGCTGGCCGGCCGGCGGTGGGGCGCACCGCACAGGGCCGCAAAGGACGCCGCCGGCGGTGCCGGGCGCGTCTGACCGGCCGGCGGCCGACGCTCCGACCCAGCCCGTCTCGTCTGTTCAGCCTCGTGTTGTGCTCTCCCCGCCTGTGCTGCTCCGTCCGAGCCGGCACAGTTCCGTCCGATCCTGCCCAGCCCCGTCTGATCCGTCTGTCGGCGTGTCCCGGCAAAAGCGCCGCGCGCATGCGCACGCACCACCAGCGCAGGCCAGCCCTCACCGGCCACCGCCGGCCGTCGTCCAGTCAGTCCATTTCCGGCCGCGGACCTGCACTCCCCCCTCCCGCCCCTCCCCCCGCCCCTCCTGCAGCCCGCCTGACGTCAGCAGGCGGCGAGGTCGGGTGCCGCCGCCGCGTCTCCAGTACCGTCACGAGCGGCGCCCGCCCAGTCCCGGCCACTCACCTGTGATCGGGGTGTCGGGCCGCGGCGCCTCCTTGCGCCACATAGGCACGAACACGGTGATGCCCTGGTGGCCGCGCGCTCGGAAGTACTCGACGGCCAGCCGGATGCCGCGACACGAGAAGCGCTCTTTGTTGCCGTGGCTGGAAAGGCGGAGAGAGCGCGCGGTCAGCGGCGGCCTTCGCGGCCGGGGGCACAGTTCAGGGTGTCCCGCCGCGCGGAGCTGTCCCATCACGCCGACAACGCCCACGCTGACACGAACGGAGGCTACACGCGGCCGCCGCGTCTGACCTCCCCGCTGCCATATTGTGATACATCTGGTCCGGGCGGCGGGCTTCTACGAAGTCCGAGGCATGTATACGTTCTGCGACTGGTGTAGCTGGTTACTTTGGCGGACATTTATCGCTTAAGGGCAGCACGACTTGACGATAATCGAGTGAACGCTAGCACCATAACGCACCAGTTCGGGTCACGCTCCCCTGATGCCAATCACTGCATCTGCCAGCTACCCGGATCCCGTCCAGCCCAATAGCGGCTGTCCCATTTCTGTCGATTGACGCCCCGTTTATTGCCGCCGTAAGATCTAGATCGGAGTCGATTGGGCAGACCTGCAGACCGGCACGGCGCCCGAGGTCGCCGCCCAGAGCGGTCCGCCGAGGTCACCCGCAGCCGGGCATGACCCCGGCGGCCGTCTAGTGCCGTGACAGGGGCCTGGACTCGGCGGACGGCTGCCGACAGGGGCCTGGACTCGGCGGACCCCTGCTGACCGGGGCCTGGACTCGGCCGACCGTGTCGACCGGGGCCGCTGACCGTAACCCGCAGCCCATCGTTGTCAGTCTCACCGCCGGCCGACCAGCGCTGGTCCCTGGGTAGGGAGCGGGCCAGCGCCGGCGCCGCGGTCTCGGCCACACGGCGGACCAGCGCCGGTTTCTGTCCGGCACAGCAGAGACACGCCGGTGCTCTGATGTCCCCCGCGGTCAGCCGTTCGGCCAGCCTCAGGGTGACCAATTTCACCGGGCCAGCCGGCGAATACCGACGCTTTCAACGTCACCACCAGAACCCTTTCACGGCTAGCAGGGAACCGGCCAAGACGCCCCCTCCCCCCCCCCCCGCCATTCCCCGGTAGATCAGCGACGTCCGACACAGCTCCATGACACCGCGCCGAGCCGTGGCAGGTTCGGACTACGGGTCAGCGGCTGCCGACGTCATCCCCTGTAGGCGTCGGCTGCGACGCGCCGGGACATCCCCGCCTGCGACGTGCGGCGCCGAGCCACCCGCGCGCCGCACGGCACTCCTGTCCCCGCCCGCCGACGCGCGCCGCCACATCCGGGAGCGCCGCGCCGCTGCTCGTCACAAACGACGGCGGCGGCGATGGCGGCGCGTGACTGCCGCGCCGTGACGTCAACGGCGCGCGCGCGCGCGTGTGTGTGCCAGCTGAGCCGGAAGCGGGCAGTGTGTGACGTCAGAGGCCCGGGACCGGTGCGTCTGAGCGAGCGCCGCCGGCTCGGAGGAGCCGGGAGAGGCCAGGCCGCGCCCAGCCGCGCCGCGCTGCTGCCGACGCAGACACGGCGCCGGCGAGCGCGACGCCCCCACCGGCGGAGCCTCACCGCTGACCTGTTCCCCGCTCCGCTGACCGACCCCTTCCAGCCGGAGCGGCACGCTCTGGTGCTGCAGGAGGGATTCCTCCGCCCACATTACACGCCAATGTCGGCCGGCACGCACGCACTAACGTCGCTGCCGCTCAAGCGACCAATTCCACTCAGACGACCGAACGGATGCGTCTGTGCACACAGCCGGAGCCGACATATCGGAGCTTGATGCCCTAATGCCAGTCGGGTGTCGCCGACATGCCACACAGAAGTGCATCAGGTCCGAGACATTCAGACAACGCTGGAATTCCGCCGACTGTTGCAGCTGATGCAAGGTCATCGCTGCCGAGCAGCCGCCAACCTGCCCGAGGAGCGGCCGTCGTCAGCCCTTCCAGCCGACGGTGACGGGTCCGGACCGCGGCCGTCCGTCTCACGTGCCGACAACAGCGTACCGATAGCCCGTCCGGTGACGGCTGGACGCCCAATTGGCGATTTATGGCGCGAGTCCCGAGCGGACGCTGACGGGGGGAGCGTGCGGCTCCACACCCCGACGGAGTGGGGCCGTCCCAGACAGCTGTGTGACCCCCGCCGGCGCCGGCCTGCTCCGCAAATATCGCCGACCTGTGTGGGGCGTAGACGGACGCACCACCAGCGTTACGAGCTCCTGTTCCCCGAAACACACAATCCGTAGCACGATGAGGAGAGGCAATTCGCCCAGTCCATGTTCGCCCCACTTACGGCGATGGCATGCGATATGCATTTCGAGCGCCCGGTGGTTACCCGAGGACAACACCTTCCCGCGGGTCGATTAGAGTCCGCCAGTGCTTACACACCTGCCGACCGGTGCGCCAACACGGCGCCAACACAGGATGTCGCGACGTCGCCAATGTCCCAGTCTCGACTGCCAGTCAGATGACATAGACGACGTAAAGGACCCCAGCGCCAGCCGTCCGACGGGACCAGCCGGCCGGGACCGCGGACCGCCGTGGCGGCTACGTCACATCGCCGCCAACCAAGGGGCCAGCAGGGGAAAAAGTCTTTGCGGTGAGCACGGCTGCCTTATGAAGTCAGCGCCGGCGTCCGGTGCTCAAGACGAGCATCAAGGCTAAATCCAGCCGAACAGGCCTGCCTAAGGCCAGGGGACACCTGGCCGCGCGCCGCCCGCCAGTCCAGCCGGCCACGGACGACACATGGCAGGCTGGGGAGTGCTGAGGGGGGGGGGGGGGCTGGCGGCGCTCGGGACGACCGGTGTCCGTCCACCGCGCCGGAGTGCGGAGTCGAACACAACACCCGTCCCCCGCTGGGGACGATCGCCGTCCGGCCACCACGCCGGGGTGCGGGCCGGGCACAACACCCGTCCCCCACCTCGCTTCAGGGCACGGCAATCGCCAAAGCCTTCGCGCTGCAGGGCGGGGAAACCGAGGGTCGTCCCAGCCGCGGAGCCGAGCACCCCCGTCGCCTCCCGAGAACACGGCCGCTGCCCGGCTCCGCTCGGACCGGTGCGACATCAAACCGCCGCTTAATGCCGGTCACGTTAACGAAGTCGGCTCGGCGGCGGACCCTCCATTCAGTCGGAGCGTCCGTCGCGCCGGCGGGGTGGCCAGGTGTGCCGGCGCCTGCAATCTGGCGTGACATTGACACACGTCGGCCGCCGGCCTCATATCGCGCCGACCGCCGCCGACTCAGCGGCTGGCCGCGCTGCCAGAGGCCGTACCGACGACGTCAATGCGGCAGAGGCCGTACCAACCCGGATGCTGCCCCCGTGGCGGCCCATTAATCCATTAACCATCGGGCGGCGATGGTATGAGGGAAAGCCGCGGGCCTTGCGGCGGGCATGTCCACGAAGAGGCAAGACCAGGATGCGCCTGACAAACAGCGGCGCAGCCGCCGCCCGCAGCTGCCGCCGACAAAGGAGCGGCCTCGTCCACAGGCCCCGTGTTGCGCGCACGATGCGCTCACGCTCTCAAGGACGTGCGGCCCCAGCTCTCCAGAGCGGCGGCTGCCCGGCCAATATGTGCCGTGGAAAGCGCCAGCGTGTTGCCGGGGCTTTCCCTTGACGACGGCAGATATGAATGTGTGCGGACCGCCCGGCCAAACTGCGTGTGAGCAGACTGGCCGTTGGCAGTGGCGTGCCGAGCGCCCAACCCGTCTGCCTTGCCAATCCCGCTCCGGGAGTTCCGAAGGACACTCCATCGCGTCCTGGCCGTGCCGCGCCGCATCGGGACGTAGCAACCGACAGCCGACTCGAGGGACCGTAAAACCCCCACCGGCTTCCCCGGCAGAACGCGTGCGTGCGTCACCACCGCAGCAGTTACCGAGTCAACGGCCGTGGAGACCCGCTCGCCGGCTGTCCTGGTCAGGGCAGAGGGGATCCCCACCCGGAGAAGCCCCTTTGAAAACGACAAAAACATCAAACACGCCTCAACAAGCAAACGCAGCCTGACGAAGACTTCACACCCAGCACATGATCGAAGCGACGGCCGCGGCTATCATACGAGGCCGGGGCGGCGGGCTGACGGCGCCGGCTCTTCATCACTCTGCGTGTGCCCGCACGGTCGGCTGGAAGCGCAGGGGCGGGCACAGAGCGCGGCCGTGTCCGCCGCCCTGTGGACATCGCTTGCCACACCGGCCGCCTGGCGCAACGCGCTAGCCGGCGGCGGCCGCGGCGCCGAGCGGCGGCCGCACGCGGACCGCTCCCTGGCTCAAGGTGAAATCGTGCGACGGGCAGCCGGCGCCGGCGAAAGGAGCGACGCGGCGGCGGCGGCGGCGGCCGGCACATCCGGGTCACCAGCTGTGCCGGGCCGCGGCCGCCGGTGCCCGGACGCCGTCGGCGGCGGCGACACGCCCTCGGATATGGCCGCAGGGTACGCAGACGGACCCCCAGCTGTCGCAATGATCCGCCGGCGGCGCTCGCGCAGAGGCCAGCGCCGGCCGACTGCACCGGCCGCGGCGCGAAGGTGGAGCACATTGCGGCCGGGGCATGGACAAGGCAGTACGTAATTGATACGTTCGGCGGCAACCGATACGGTTGTGGAATGGTCTGCCACTTACTCGGCTTTCTTCAGCATGGCAAACGCAAGGCGCTCTGTTCATGGGAAACCTTTCCCCAGCAGACACATTTGTAAACGCAACCAGCATTATACGAATGGTGTAGGCGACCATCCCGTCGCGTAGTATACGTCCCAAGACCCGAGGAGAGGTGACTCAGTGGAATAGTGTTCACAGTTGTGAGCACATGAAGAAAGACTGCTCATAGTCGCGAGCCCACAGCTGCCATCTGTTCCGAGAATAGCACCGGTCCTGTAACTCTAGTCAGGAATCTGCACAACACGCGCTGCAAACGCAACTATCGACATCTTTTGATTCCAGCGAGACGTAACAAAGCCAAGTAACAAAGCGGTGCTCCAAAACATAACAGGCAATCCTTGCTACTAGGATTAATGTGAACTGTTTCCAAAAGACGTTGGCTGAGGTCAACGTTCCGTCATGACAACACTGACACTGAACAGCCCAACTCAAAACGCGTTTCAATTGCACTGCGAGGTAAGTCGGGTCGGTGAACCCTAAACTGCAGGGGAGGCGGCTGATCACCAGCATCCACCGACTAACACAAGGCCGGCATTTACAAGTAACTCTTTAAACTGGACACTTCTCCCCAGTGAACGGAGCGCATGACCCGCTCCGAGACGTGCCGGGCTGACAAACGGCCTGACTTTGGACACCACAGGCCTCCGGCGCGCGGCCCGGGCCCGCGTACGAGAGCAGACGCTGGGGAGGCCACCTGCGCCGTCTGTTGCGTCACTGCGCCGCGGCGGGAGGGTCAGAGGCGCGGGTTCCCGCACCGAACGCTTCTGAACACCGCACAGGGAAGGAGGGGGTAGACTGTCTGGATATTCAATACGTCCCCGACGAATGACGTGCCGCACGCCACCACCGTCTGACAAATCAAGGCCCCCGGCGAGGCCCCTGCCGGCGCCGCAGATCCCCTCCACCCCACAGTCCACACACTAAGCAGACCTACAGGGGCGGCAGTTGCCGGACGGGGCGGCCCAGCCCGGCCGCCGCTGCAACAGAGCGCCGGGGAGCGCCCTGACTGCACCCAGTCACGGCACCGATGGCGCCCGTTTCACCTCTCGAGAGCGCGAGAGGCGCCTCCCATAGGCCGCCATGCGAGCGCGGCCACCCTCCGAGCCGATCGACTTTCTCCGGAGCCGCGGCGGCCCGCCGAGCGGCGCGCC